GAGTGGTAGTGTTGATGTGGGTTGCCGGGGTAGCTTGTGGTGGGGGACCTGTCCAGTATGAGTGTAGGCGTTCGGCGTCTTGTGGTGGGGTATGTGGTGAGGGAGAGGGTGAACGGCTGGAAAGTCCGGGTGGTAGTGGAAAACCTGGCGGTATGTTGTGTAGCATGGCCAGGTTTCTGCTGGAGAGTGTGGCTGTGGGGTTGACGCGGTATTGTCCTGGGAGCCCGGGGCCGGTGGTAACAAATTGAAGGAGCCGACGAGCCTGGGAGAGGTTATCGATCAGGCGGTCCAGCAAGATCAGGTCACCGCGCATTCGGTAAAGGAGGTTGTATGCTCTCTGGTCTTGAAAATAGGTCTTGCTTGGCATAGGTTCAGTGTGAAATGGGTGACGGCGGAGGTGCTGGTTGACCAGAAAGAGGAGGTCCAAAGAGCCGTTGAGGGATTGAAAATCGGGCTGAGTGCTAATTGAAGGTTGGAGCCAGCTCGGAGGGCGCTGTGGGAGGTAGTGCTCTGTGTCGGCGGTGTTGCTATGAGGGCGAGCGTGAGGATTGGCCATGACAATTGATGGAATGAAATGGCGTACAAAAGGCTGCGGAGCTGGATTGAGCCTGAAAACTGACAAATCTAAGTTTGGCAACCTGGTGAAAGTAGACTGGATGTGAAAAACTAAATGTCAGTGCACGTCAGTGGATTTGTCCTGCGGCACGCCGTAAAGAAAGGTGGGTGAAACGGGTCAAATGAAATAACTACCAACGGGCGTAAGTGGAGATTTCTCCGGATGACTGTCTTCACTAAGTTCTCGCTCAGCAGCCGGCGTCAGCAGCGCAGCAGCAGGAGTTGTTTGATGTGGTGAAGTCGGTGGCGTTGTTATGGGGGAAGGGGAGAAATCCGGTTGTGAATGTGGTGCTGGGGAAACTGCTGGTGATGTGGGTGTTGGTGATGGGGAAGGTGCTTGTCTTGGTGGTGCGGTTGACAGTGGTGTGGAGAAGAGTTGCTGGTCCTGCTGACGTTGCATGTCTTTGAGTTCTTGCCATCGGGCTCGGCATTGCTCTACGGAGAAGCCCACTCGGCGAGCCACAGTGGTCCAGTTGGGACGAAGTCTGGGGTTTTCTTTGAGTTCGACCAGGCGACAGTCGGCGTCGCCGTCCCAAGCATCCCAGTCCGCCTGTTGGTTCAGTGGTGGTGGGGGTGGTTGCTTCCGCTTGCGTGTTGTGGTGGGTTGTGGAACTGGGGGTGTTGTGGGAGTGTCGTCTGAGTCTTTTGAGGGTGGTGCTGGTAAGCGGAGGGGTGGTCTGGATGGTGCTGAGTCACAAGATGAGGTAGTAGATGGTAAACGTATAGGGTGGTTGGGTGGGGTTGGAAGTGGCTGAAAGTGTTGGCGGAAAGTGGGATCCGCTTGGTGGATATGGTGGAGGAACTGAGTGTGGAGGTGTGCTACACTATCGGTTGCTTGTCTGAGCAGGTTCTGCAGCTGGGAAAGTACCACTGTGGTTCTGTGTATGAGAGTTGAAGTGTCGTTGCGTAGAGGTGTGGGTGTGCTGCTCATGGTTCGGAGATGTAGGGATGTACAATAGCACGGAATCGTCACGGGTTGCTGCAGCAGCGCGCCAGAGCCAGCGGCGAGTCTGAGAGAGCGCATCATCACGAGGCCGTGCATATGAATTAAGCGAGCATCAAATTTCCACAGGCAAAGGTAGGAAAATGCAATGCCGGTTGGACAGTCAAGTATATGAGAATCTGACATGTGAAACACTCCATCAGAACAGCCGGTATAAATTGAAGAAAAAATTTACAGCAAACACTGCAGAGCTTGAAAAATTGAGGGTTCAAAATTCGCGTGGCCGCTGCAGGAGGCTCTTTTTGGCTGCTACGAGCAAAGGTTGGGTGGTGGTGTGAGACCAAAAGTGGATGTGGGGGTGGTAGTGGTGTGTAGATGTGGGAGAGTGGTGTTATGTGTCTGGTGGAGTGGAGTTTGTGGACCAGGCCAGTCCTTTGACAATGGCGTGGTCCGGGTGGATCACCCAGCAGCGTCCTTTCTGATGAAAGACTGCACCATGGTGGTCGTTAAGGAGATTCATGGCGTGTTCCTCACCTCCGGAGGTATATTTTGTGGCAGCACCCCAAGCGAGGAGTGTGATGATAAGGGAATGGGAGTTCTTGTGGAGTTGCCAGGTGTTGTGGATGATGCGGGCAAGTTCGTTGTGGTCATGGGGTTGGTTGTGGGTGATGCGAACGCCCTGGGCAAAAAATCCAGGGTAGTTGGCAAAGTGGAGTGTGCTGGGTAAAAATCGGCCTTGGCGTAGAATGTTGGAAATGTTGCCGACGGGGCCTGTGTGGCCTGCGTTGATGTGGGCGACTTCCCGGTGGGTTGATGTGGCTCGGGAAACCGCAGGTGGTTCTGGTGTAGTGGCTTTGGTGTTGAGGAAGGGAAGTGAAATGGCGTAGTACTGGAATTGGTCGTATTGGTGAGTTGTGTCGTTCCACTTGGCGTGAGTGTATTGTCGGAAATCGGTGATCTCCTTGTAGGTGATGTTGCAGTCTGTGAGGATATTGGCAATGTACTGGTGTTGTGGTCGGTTGGGATTGTCGAGTTGGGTGGCGTGGAATTCGAGCCATTCCAGGATTTGGTCTGCAGGTGTAAAGGTGTGAAAGTTGGGTGGAGGTCGCCAACGGTTGATTGGGCGACGGAGGACGGCTGTGGTGGGAAATTGAGAGGGGTCTGGGTTGGCGTGTTCAGTGTTAGGGCGTAAATCAATGGGTTGTGGTGGTGAGCGACTGCGGGATGGCGTAAGGCTGGATGTGTAAGTGGATGTTGAAGGCGACCGCCGTCGCCGGGTTGTACTGTGATGCTTGGAGTGGCGGTGATGGCGATGTCGGCGGCGGTGGCGGTGGCGTCCTCTGTGGTGATGGTCGGACTTGCGTCGGCTCTTGTGTTGGTGGCGGCGACTGCTGTGTGGTGGTTGCGGGGAAGGTGGTTGTGGTGCTGGTGAGGCAGTGGTGTCAGGTTTGTCTGGTGCTGGTAGTGAAGATCCGGGCGCTGGTGTGGCTGATACTAGCGATGGGGATGCAGAATGTTGGGATACGGTAGCTGGAGGGGTCGTGTTTTGGACCGGCAATGGAGTGTCCGGGGCAGTCGTGGGGATGGGTTGGATTGGTGGTGTTGGATCCGATGGTGGCTGCTGTTGGAGTGGAGATTGGACTGGTGTTGGGGCGCTGATGGTTTGTGGAGGTGGTGGCGGGGGCAACGGTTGGAGTGGAGGCGGCTGCCAAACGCCCTGGGGGAGGGCGCATTGGGGGTCTGTGGATGGATAATTGGTAATCGCAGTCTGTTGCTGTGTTGGAGGGGGATGGGCCAGGGTAGTGGGGGGGAGGAAGTTCTGCCGGTGGTGTGGGATGTTGTGGTGGTAACAGGTATGAAGGGGGAGGTGCTGCTGTCGGAAAGACTGGAGTTGGATGTGTGGGCTGCGGTGGCACGTGACATGGTTGCACAAACGTCCAAGTGGATGGTGTGCCGTAGGTCATTGCAGTGGCGGTAGGGTTGGACAAAAAAGGTGGTGGTTGAAATGGTTGTGGTTGTGGGTGAGGGTATGCCGATGGTTGTGTCGTGGGATAGGTGGGTGCAGTTGATGGCTGTGGCAGCGGCCATGTGGGTTGAGGTTGTGTGGTAGGTAATGGCGGTGGCGTGGTGTGAGCGTAGGGCCACGGAAAATGCATGTCGTGGTCGTAGCTATGGCGCGGCGCGGCGCGGCAGCAAAAAGCAGCGGAGAAGTGCCGAGTTGTATTGTCTTGTTGTTGTTGAAGGTGTCATCTCTGGTGTCAATGGTGAGTATGTTGTAAGGTGGTGCTAGATGTGAGCTTGTTGGTAGGTGTGTGTTCATGCATCTCGAATTAAACTGAAGAGCTGTAATGCCCATCCTTGAGTTCTGTCGATAAAAGAATCACGGCATCATATAGCAAACGTGGAAACACGCACATGATTTGAAGACATGAAATGAAAGGACGAAGCTGAAATCTGAAAGTTGAAATCCGATGTATTCTTTAAGAAACCGTTTTTTGGCCCGGCGGCCGGTGTGGCAGTTGATTCTGTGAGGGTGTCGGTGCCTTCCTGTGAGAGTCCAGTGAGCGGTGGTGCGTTGGGGTGGTTGCTTTCCCATGCAAGATCGGCGCCCCTGTGACGGGGATCACACTCAGCACCCGAGTGGGACGGCTGAGCAGGACACACTTCGAACTTGGGTTTTCAGTTAACGCAATTGTCTCGTTGGG